GGGTTCGGGTTGGGGGTTCGGGTATGGGTGAGGGCGGACAAGTAGGCGGACCAGGGTCCGTCCGCGAGGCGCACTGCGGTGCGACAACTCGCAAAACACTATTTGCGGCGGTGCAGCCTTTAGATACGAGGGCGGGCAACAAAAACCCCCTCCCCCGGCGCAGTGCGACAGACGCTACAGACGGCGGACAGACGATGATGATCTCACCTGTCAGACCGCGTAAAGAAAGAGGCCCCAACAAAAAGGCGACGTGCTGACACGTGGCTAGGCGGCTTGGCAGACCGCCAGTTGGGCGCTTGGCCGCTAAGCGGCGCGCAGTGACGGGGCACCCCCCGCCCCCACGCCCTGACACCGTGGACGCGGAGCCACGCGTACACACGGGCAGGCAGAAAGGAGGAGATTAGCGCGGGGCACCAGGTGGAGCGCCGCGGAACGATGACAGCATAGCTTGGATGGTGAGTGACGGCACGGCACCATCGGGCGAGGGCGTGAGCAGCTCGGCGAAGGCTCGCCCGGCGCTGTGGAGGCGCTGGAGTAGAGGGCCTTGGCGAGCTTGGGCGGCGGCGTTCGGGTATGGGTGAGGATTAGCGGCGTTAGGGTGGTAGGGGTCGGGGTCTGGAACCCGGGGGCGCCGTGGCGAAAGGGGATGGAGGGAGTGGCGGGGGGGGGGTCGGACCCCCCCTCCCCCCCTTTTGAAAAGGAGCGGGGGGGGGTCCCCGACGACGGATCGGGAAAAGGGGAGAGGGGGGGGGTTCCCCGACGACGGATCGGGAAAGGGGAGGGGGTCCCCGACGACGGATCGGGGAAAGGGGAGGGGGGGGCGGGGTCCCCCCCCCCCCTGGGGAGATCCAGCGGCGCACCCTCGAAGATAGACCCCCGAAGGGGTGCGGTCGAAGACGAAGAGGGCGGGTATCAAGGGTTCGGGATATACGTGTTGAGTGGCACGCGATCAAGTAAGAACGAACAGTCTTAAAATGCCCGGCTACAACATCGGCTCCCATTTGATAGTTCCTCACAAGTTACCCCGAGAGACCCTGGCCAGAGAGGCCCCCGAACTCAGGAACGGCGCTCTCGCTCGAGATTCTGTCGCAAGTCAATCAAATGTGCGGAGGCCCAACCACGACGACAAGGGCTCCTGCTCGATACTTCCTCACGATTCACTCCGAGAACCCCTGGCCAGGAAGGCCCCCGAACTCAGGAACGGCGCTCTCGCTCGAGAATCTCTCGCGACTCAATCAGATTGGCTGAGACCCAACTACGACGACGAGGGTTCTCGTTGAATACTTCCTCAAGATGTATTATCAAAGGCCTTTGCCAGAGAGGCCCCCGAACTCAAGAGTGGCGTTTTCGCTCGAGACTTTCTCGTAATTCAGGATAGCTGGTGGAGGCCCAGATACGGCGACAAGGGTTCCCGTTCGATATTTCTCCATATGTATTCCGAGAGCCTCTGGCCAAAGAGGCCCCCGATCTCAGGAACGGCGCTCCGCTCGAGAGTTCCTCGCACTTCAGCCAGTGGCCGACAAGGAAGATATTCCCCCCGAAAGGGGGTGCAATCGAAGGCGAAGTGGGCGGGTACCGAGGGTTGGGGTATACAGACTGCAAGACACGCGTGCCAGTAAGAGCGAACAGCCTTAAAATGATGTGTGGTGTTAGTGTTGTTGAGTGTTGATTATTAAGAATGATTATTTTAGGACCCCTTATAAGCGCCTTGGCGCTCTCGCCGAGGCGCCGGCTATATGGAAAATGAGACTCACGCTCGAGCGGTTTGGGGGACCGCCAAAACCAGCCCACCACCAACAACAACAACAACAACAACAACAATTACTAGCACGTGGGGACACACCGTTCTCACCAGTGCCAGGGTTTTCGTAGGAGGCGGGCAATACCCCCTCTTTGTGGGGGGGCCGGTTCAAGCTCTACCAAATTTCCAAACGACTCTTCGCCACCACCCACACCCAGCTTCCCGCCCTATGACGTTCGGACACTTCACTTCGTGGCATGCGGACGACCGTGGCTACTATTCAGGGCCCCGCGGCCGACGACGACGGCGTGCGCGCGCGAAGAAAAAACGAATGTGTCCCGCATGGTATTATTTGACAGGGATGATGGCCCTGGCAGGTGCGCAACCGTTGTTGCAGAAGTTCGAAAAAGTTGCTCGCAAAAGCCCGTTTGACAGAAATGTTTAAAAAGTGTTGGGTTTCCTACGAATCCGCAAGAGCGCGCGGGATGAAATTTTGACATTTTTTTTTGAAAAACCATTGGTTTTTTGATGTTTTTATGTTAAAATCGCTACGAAAACTAAGGTTTTGGAAGGATTTCGTCTTGCGCGCGCGAATGTCCACTTTACCTTATTTTTTGCAAGGGATTCTTGAAGTTTGGTTATGTTAGAACAAGAAATGTCCACTTTAGCTTATTTTTTGCAAGGGAAAACCGATCGTAACAACACAACCGGATCCGGACTCCCCCGTTTTGCCTGAGACTTCCTCACGAAAATGATGAAAATGAGGCTGCGGCCTAGGCGCGGCGGGGGGGTCGTGCACCAGGGGTCCCAACAATAATTATTCTTTAGAAGTAATAATGTTCAACAACAACAACAACAACAACAACAACAACAACAACAACAACAACAACAACAACAACAACAACAACAACAACAACGCTCCCGCTCGAGACTTCCTCCTTTTTTACTCAGGGCTGGTGTTCTTGCTTGCCGCCGAAAGCCGCCGTCCTAACAAAACCAGCGCTCCCGCTCGAGACGTCCTCCCGTTTTACCTTGGACTGGCGCGCTAGTTTTTCTCTCATCGGCGCCGCCCCCAGCAAAAACAGCGCTCCCGCTCGAGGCTTCTTCCCTTTTTTACTCTAGGCGGTGCTCCTCCTCGCCGCCGAAAACCGCCGCCCCGACAAAACCAGCGCTCTGGCCCGAGACTTCCTTTCGTTTTACGCTGGACTGGCGCCCTACTCTCTTTTGAATTGGCGCCGCTCCCAGCAAGAACAACGCTCCCGCTCGAAATTTCCTCTCTTTTTCCTGAAGACGGTGCTGTTCCTCGCCGCCGACAGCCCCCGTCCCGACAAAACCACGGCTCCCGCTTGATGCTTCCGCCTTTCTTACTCAAGGCGGTGCTCCTCCTCGCCGCCGAAAACCGCCGCCCCGACAAAACCAGCGCTCCCGCCGGAGACTTCTTTCCGTTTTACGCTGGACTGGCGCCCTACTCTCTTTTGAATTGGCGCCGCTCCCAGCAAGAACAACACTCCCGCTCAAGATTTCCTCTTTTTCTTCGGGACGGTGCTGTTCCTCGCCGCCGACAGCCCCCGTCCCGACAAAACCACGGCTCCCGCTCGATGCTTCCTCCTTTCTTACTCAAGGCGGTGTTCCTGCTCGATGCTTCCTCCTTTCTTACTCAAGGCGGTGTTGCTCCTCGCCGCCGAAAGCCGCCGCCTCAACAAAACCAGCGCTCCCGCTCGAGACTTCGTTTTGTTTTACGCTGGACTAGCGCCCTACTCTCTTCAGCATTGGCGCCGCTCCCAGCAACAACAGCAGTCCTGCTCGAGACTTCCTCCCTTTCTATTCAGGGCCAGGTCCTTGCCTCACCGCCGACAGCCCCCATCCTCACCAAGGCAATCCTATCGTTCGATACTTCCTTGTGCTTTACCCTTCGCTTGGGTTCCACTGGCTGTCTGGCATCGGCGCAGCAAGGCGCGGGCACGTGTCTTCGAGGCGGGATATGTTGAAATTCTTCGGAGGTATTTGCAAGACCTCATTGGGCGGGAGATCTGGGAATGGGAATAACGGACCCCGCTATAGAACAAGAGTCCCCCATGATGTGGATGGTTATCATGATGGTCGCATGCTTCGTGTGGATCGCGCATGAGGGTACAATGACTGTTGTTGTTGGGAGGCCAGCTCGGGCGCAACCCCGAAACGCTTGAGCGTGAGCTTCAAGTTCAAAGGAAAGGCAAAAGCGCCAACGCACAGATGCGGGGTCCAACAATAAGACTTGCTTAGTAGCTAATATACAACATTCACCACCAACACAACAATCATGATAAGACTGCTCGCTCCTATCTGCTCGCGTGTCACTCAACCTGTATATCCCGAGCCCTCGATACCCGCCCTCTTCGTCTTCGATAGTACCCCCCTGGGGATGCTCTTCCTTACCTGCCACGTGTAGCTGGCAAGGGAGGAGGGAGGGAAGTGAAAATTGGGAGGAAGAAGACGGAGAATAAGGAGAAGGAGAAGAAGAAGAAGAAGGAGAAGAAGGATGGAGCACCACAGGTTAGCGGGAGGAGGGTTCGGAGCAGGACAACAGGCGGCAGAACCAAATGTGCGGGTCCGGCGGGCGGACCCTAAAGGCCGGGCCGGGGCGGGCGTGCCCAGACGGCCTGGTCGAGGGGGCGGGTCGTCGAGGCATCAGTCCTGCACGATTCGCGAAGAGGTCTCGAGCGATAGCGCGATTTCCGAGTAATCGTGGTGAGATCCAAAACGAAAGCGTGGTCCATGAGTGTCGAAGGCGCGGCGTATGAATCAATTTCGACGAAGTCCCATGCGAGAGCGCGATGCCTGGATCAATTGTAAGGAGGTCACGCGCGAGAGCGCGCTTCTGAATAGATTATGAAGCAGTGTCGGGCGAGAGCTGTTGTTGCTGTTGTTGTAAACTGGGGCTCGAGACCTTCCCCTGTAGGAACAACAAGGTATGAGCCACAGGGGTGGCAGCTCAATGAAAAAACAGAGGGTGAACGGGCGGGGGGGAAGCTGCATCAGTTATTCTTCCGAATTGAAAGCTCAGCACCTTGCCACCGCTCGGACGCCCACTCCCCGGTGCATGTGTCGGCCCCGTGCGTTCACAGCATGCTCAGAGATGCTCCTCGAGGGTCCTCGCCGAGCAAAGATGCACACGTCCGAGGGATGCCAGGTGAGAACTCGGCAACAGAAAACACGCCCCTGGGCCCTTCTGAGAGGCTCCGCGTCGCCCCGCCCCCCTGCTGTGCGCGCCGCTGGAGTCCTGATCAATGATCAGCTCCTCGGGACTGAGGCGGCCGATGGGGTTGCTGGCGTTCTTGGCCATCACGTCCTCCACAGGGCTCGAGCTGAATCATGTCTGTTGTTTTCGTGTTGTTCCCGTGTTCCTTCGGTCTGTCATCGTCCCACCTCTGTTGCGAAACGACATCTCAAAGGAGCCACCACCACCAGAACTCCATAGAACTCCGCTCTCAAAAGCCCCCCCTCCCCCAGAGCTGGTGGCACTCCGTTTCGGGCACTCTCTGGGGGCGCGCCTAGGGAACGGGGTGCCACCAGCTCGGGGGGAGTTCTTTCTCCTCAGATGAGTCCTCCAAATCCTGCCGCACCTCCAAGATGCGCTCGCGGACCCGCTCCTTCTGCTGGTCGGCGGCAGCCTTGGCGCTGTCCTGCTCCGACTTAAGCTTCATGTCCTGGATGGAGTAGTACCCGGCGTCGACGATGTCGAGGGCCGCGTGGGTGGTCACCGCAGATATCTCCACGGTCGGCAAGTCCTGGGGGGAACCACAATACGTACGGACACCGCTACTCTGAAGTCGGGCATGTCCCCCTACAGGGGAATTGTCGACGAAAAATAAAAAATACGCCAAACATACCCAAAAAATAATCCAAAAATAGTCCGGGGACTATTTTTTGCTGATTGTCTGACCTTTTTGGCATATTTTTGGGGTACTTTTTCATTTTTCCTCGAAAATCCCCCTGTAGGGGGACACGCCCGACTTAACGCTACTCCCCGACCCTCTCCTGGGACGGCTTCTGACCATGACCTCGAGGCGACTCCGGCCGTGGCGACGAGGGCCTCTCCGGGGGGGGGAGGGGGGGGGGGGGGGGGGGAAAGCCGAAAGAGAGCGAAGGGGATCGGAATCGGCATGATTACCTCCTCTGAAGTCCCACTCGTGCGGCTCGCCCTGGGGAACATCTGGCATCATGTCCTCCATCCTCTCCTTCACCTCCCCCATGTCCAGCTCCTCGCCCGCGGCCTTGGCCTCAGCGAACTCCAGCAGCTCCGTGGAGTTCAGAGTGACCGTGGACAAACTGCCATCGCCGCCGCCGACGATGAGGACCTGTTCCTCGGCGTCGGCGGAGATCGAGGTGATCGCGCCGGTGGTGTTGTCTGCTGGACTGAACTGGATGTACAGCGACGGGTTGGCGAGGGGGATGGCCCAGCAGCGCCCGTCCGAGTACCCGACGAACACGAAGCGTGAGCTCGGAGAGATGCTCAAGTGCGTGACTGACACGCCCTTAGGCAGCCTCGCCAGCGGCCTGGCAGCAGCCGGGCCTGGCTCCTGCTTCCCCACGGGCTGCTCGGCGCTGCTGACCAGCTCCTCCGACAGCGGCAGCAGCTCCCACAGCGCGCCCGAGTACTTTCCGGTCCCCACGAAGACGAGCTTGTCTCCCAAGTAGACCGCCCTCGACATCGCCGTCACCTCCTCCGCTTCGCCGCCGCCCCCGCCGTCCTCATCCTCCTCCTCCTTCGCCTCCTCGCCAGCCTGGTCTGGATCAGGCGGGGCCGCCTCATCCCCAGCGGGCTCGGGCTCCCCATCCTCGGCTTCTGCGCCATCGGCCTGCCCATCCGCGGCCTCTGCGGCATCCTGCTCCGCCTTCGCCCTCTTCGCGTCCTCTTCCGCCAGGTCGGGGACATCTGGCTGGACAGCCCTGTAGAGCACCTCGATCGCGTAAGTCTCCGTGGTGTCCACCGCCGACATCGAGGGGACCACCATCTCCACGAGGGATCCGTCCTCCAGGCTGAGGACGGTTCGCCCCTGGAGGGCGTGCCAGGAGAGATGGTTCACCTGAGAAGGCACCTGCACGAAGCCAATGGGCGCGGCGTGCTCCTCCCCACCGCGGACCTCGAAGCAGAAGACGGTGTTGTCAACCCCGAGGCTGGCAACGAAGCGACCATCTGGGCTGTACTCGAGGCGCCTTACCATGCTATTGTGCGGCTTCAGTGCCTGGATGAGAACGAACCCGTCTCTGCAGACGCTGAACACCCTAATGGTGCCGTCCATGTAACCAGCCAGAACCGTGCGTCTCTCCGCATCCACCGACTCTGGCGCGGCAACCAAGCAGGAGATGCCCCCGCCGCTGCGCCGGTCCAAGAACAGCATGTTATCCCTCTCCACCGACACGTTGAACGCGCGAAGCGTCCCATCCATGCCGCTGGAGACCGCGAGCCCCGGGAAGGTGTCCAAGTAGAGGGCACCCGTCACCTGCTTGGCATGGGCCTGGACCACCGCGAAGCACTCGCCCGAGGCCCTGTCGTACCTCCACACCACGCCGTTGCGCACATCCTGCACGAGCCACGTGCGCCCGCCCTGCCCGCTGGCAACGTGCTGGATGTGAGCGGGCTGGGTGAAGCCCTCGCTGCTGCCCTCGGGCGGGATGCGCACCTCCCTCTTCATGGAGATCCCGTACTCAAGGATCCCTGCATCGTAGTCCGCCTCCGCGTCATCGATCTCGTCGATCGGCCACCATCGCAGGTAGCCGTCCTCCCCGCCGGAGACGACGCAATTGGTCTCGGGGTCGTGCATGATTACCTCCACCGAGCCTGTGTGAGTCTGCGCTCCTATTCCATTGGGCTTGTCCTCGTCGAGGCGCATGAGCTCCACCTTGACGAAGACGCCCTCCCACAACAGCAGACTGCCGTACTCGCTGCCTGTGACGACTTTGCCATCTGGGAGCTCCACGAAGGCCACGATGTCGGAAAGCTCGGTGGCGCCAAACTTGCCCAAGTCCCCCTGGAGCTTCAGACCGGTAAACGTGGTGGCCATCTTCCAGAAGCGGATGTGACCCGTGCCCGTGGACACCAGCGTGCCAGGGAACTGGCCCCAGCGGATGCTGAAGACGTCCTGGCCGTAGGCCTTGCACTTCAGGAGCAGGCGCTCGTTGGTCCAGTCCCAGACGGAGAGCAGGTAGTCCGGGGCGCAGCCCAGGGCGGCCAGGTGCGTCCTGTTGTGCGGGGAGAACTCGACGGAAGCATACCCTTTCTCGGTACCCTTCCTCAGGATGCGGTAGAGCCTGTAAGATCTCGTGGCGTAGATGTAGACGTGCGGCGGGATGCCAGGCAACAGGCTCTTCTCCGCTACCGCGAGGAAGTTGCCGTCGGGGGACAGCGCGATGGCCCCGATGCCGCCGCTGTCTCGTGCGTGGAGTTGCCGACTCTCCCCGGTGTTCACATCGACTGTGCAGACAACGTGTCCTGTGATGTAGGCGAACTCGCGCTCCGAGACCCACACCAAGTTGTAATGCTGGTTGAAGTCGAATCCAAGGAAGCGCACTGTAGAAGCACCTTCTCTCGGCAACTCGCTGTGCGAGACGATGGGCTGCAACTCAGCAGCGGCATCGTCATAGAAGAAGTCGACTGGCATGCGCCACTTCGAATCTTCCGACTCCACCTTGTCTGCCGCGTCGTCCGTCGCGTTCTGCGACTCTATCGTCTGCGTCCTCCGCTTGCGCAGCTCCTGGATGACGAGCTTGGAGGAGGACCGGAACAGCATCGTGCTCTTCGAGCCGCCCCCGTCCTCGCCCTTCGGTGACCCTTCCGCATCGCTGGCGGACGCCCGCGCACCAGGGTCCCCTGGCAGGGACGGCGGCGGCGCTCCCTCGCCCGCCTCCTGCGGCGCCGTCACCTTCAAGGCCAGCGCGGCCGCTGCGACCCCAGCCACTGGGGCGGCCTCGGCGCCGGCCTCGGCCGCCACGGCCTCCGCCTCTGGGGCGGCCTCGGCGCCGGCATCCCCCCCTGCGGCCGCCGCCGCAGGGGCGGCCTCGGCGTCGGCATCGGCCGCCACGGCCTCCGCTGCGGGGGCGGCCTCGGCGCCGGCATCGGCCGGCACGGCCTCCGCCGTAGGGGCGGCCTCGGCGCCGGCATCGGCCACCTCTCCCGCGCCCCCGTCGGGGCGCGCCGATGCGTCGTCCGCCGCAGCCTCGCCGCTCATTGCGCTCACTGCTCGTGCAAAAGGCACTGGGGCGAGCTTCGGGAGGCAGGGCGGCTGGAGCCAGAAGCTGACGAGCCTGCTCCTTCACGTGCCTGGCGGCGGCGCGGGGACGAGCCTCACGCGTGGTGCACGCCCCAGGCGTTGCGCGCGGAGTCAGCAAGCCCGCGCGCCAAGAAGCGCCAGCTCGGATTGTGTGTTCTGTCTCGCGCGGGGTCGCGCCTCAGATCGCCTCCAGTGTGCGCGCGCAGTCGTGGCGCAACTGCGCTGATCGTCCAACGCTCGGGATACGAAGGAAACAGAGAAAGGGGCGGGAGGGCGGGAAAGAGGGCCGTGGCGAGGCCCGGCGGGCGCAGCACTCACTGCGCAGCGACTGCGTCTTGGGGAGAGGAGGGCGCAACCACACAATCTGAATTGCAACTCGGCGACCACACCGCCCTTGTCGGTGCCAGGAGGTCGTTAGACAAAAGGGAAACGCAGCACATGCCCACACGCAATGGGCAAAGGCGTGTGCTCCCACCAGGCCTCTGGATGCCGGAGCTTAGAGATTGCTTCCTCTTCCAATCCCCTCTTCCTCTTGGGGGCAGGGTTTACCCTTCCCTCACGCCCTCCCCTGGTGCCAGGGCCAGAGCTTCGCGAGGTGTCAGAGGGTCCGACCTGGCTCCAGATGGCTCGAAGAGGACTCCGGGTAGCCCAAGATGGCCTCCCAAATGGCACGACACAACCCAAAGTGGTTAAATGTCGACTCCAGCATGCCTCCAAACGCCTCAAAGGCCGCCACGATACAGCTCCAAGTGCGCACGGGGCTCCCAATCTCTCCCCCCCCCCGAGAGGCCATCTTAATTCAAGAACAGCTTGGTGTTCAGTGCTTCGGGGCGTCTAGCCTTTCCGCTTCTGCTGTGCTTCTGAGGCATCAGGATGGCTCAAATGTTTCCCACAAAACGCGCCAACAGGAGCCCCATAGCTCCAAGACGGCACCAAGAGCGTCCCAAAAGAGAGTCGCAAGAGGGCCACCAAAAGCGATGCTCTGGGCTACTACGGGTGCCGTCGTGAGTCCGCCCCCGTCGCGCAAACCCAGCACCCGTTTGAATCATTGTTTCTTCAAGATAGACCTTGGCGTCTCGGGGGTCATCGTTGGGAGGTTTGTGGCCCAGGATGGCTCGCAGATTGCCCCATGCGCCTGCATATGGCGGATTTCGGACACCCTGAACCCAAAACTGTTTTCATCTCTTCGGGGCGAATATTTTACTTCCGCCGCCTTCTGCCAGCCTTCCGCCAGCGGAGGCAGCCTCGTTTTACTTCCGCCGCCCTTCCGCCGCCTTCCGCCGAGGAAGAGATGACAACTCCTTCTATCCTCGAAAGCAAGGCCCTTTTTGGAATGTCCCATGTGGCCTCCAAGATGGCGTAAGATGGTCCAAGTTAAGACAGGCTTGCCTCCGGCATCCCTCCAGGAAGCCCCGAGACGGCCAACAAGACTGCTTCTAAAGTGGCCCCAGCGCCACTCAAAGATACCCCAGAGAGGCCAAAATGAATGGAAACAAAAAATGGTCCCCTGATTCGGCCTTCGGTTCTAGAAGGCTCCCACTGCTCATTTCATGTTGGGGCCATAGAGCTTGAGCGACGATCAAAAACCGGTCTTACGCGAGATGGCGTAGCGACCTCACGCCGCGGCTTACGCGGACCGCCCGCCTGGCACGCTGCGCTGGAAACGAGGGCACTTACGCGCGACCTTACGCGGGCAGCTTACGCGCCAGTGTCGGCGAAGACGACCCCGTTTTTTGAGCGTCGCCCAATTGGCGGAGCCTGTGTTGCCAGAACTCAACTCCTGGGACTGTTTTTTTTTCACTCGGCCTCGACTGGACAGGATACCCGAGGGGACACAAGACTCGTCCGACGGCAATGGGGCCCCAGCACACCAAAGGACACGCGTGCTGCACGGGTCGGGGATAGACAGCACACAAGGGCACTGTAAATCGATTTGGTATGGTTAAGAACAAGGAAAGGCGACACCAGCACCACCAGGGCGAGGAGATGCGAGGACGCAAAAGGGGTCTCCCTGGTGGTGTGGTCCCCCCCCCTCGCTCGAGACGTCCCCAGCCTCCAGCCCGGGAAGGCATCGTGGACCTCCTCGCTGGAGGTGGGCCCCCTGGTGGTGTTGGTGTCGCTTCTCCTCCCTCCGATATGGTCGACCTACTAATCAGGGCCAATTTTATCACCTGAGTGCAACCCAACCCTTACAGCTGGTCGCAACATCGAGTTGCTAGAACTCCAGCGCTTGATCATACAATTGCACCCCTTCAATCCTGGCGCGTCTTCGTGCTGCCAAAACTTCACTCGTTCCTGGGATTGAGCTTGATCATCGGTGTGCAATGCTCTCAGGGCCCAAGCTCTTCATCATATTGCTAGATCTCCGTTCCCAGGGAATTGTTTTCAGTCACTGGAGCCAACTCCCCACATAATGACGTGCTCGTGTTGGAAGAACTCCATTCCTAGGGACTGGCTTTGAGTGTCTGGAGCCAACTGTCCAGCGTGTCGTGAACTTCACGTTGCTACCACCCCACTCCAGCTCGAGCTCGAGCTTCAGCCTAAAGCTCAGTTTGGACCCCAGCTCCAAGTCCAGCTCCAGCGATCGAGCCCCAGCTCCGACCTTAGCCTAGCTCCAAACAAGCTCCAGCCAAGGCATCGGCTCCAGCCCAGGTTGAGCTACAGCTCAAGGACCAGCCCCGGATCCCCTCCCAGCTTCACACTGGCTCCAGGCCCAGATCCAGCGCCAGCCACGTTCAGCTCTAAATCCAGCTCCACCTTATCTCTAGCTCCAGCCTGGCTCCAGAGCTCCAGCCCCAGCCCAGCCCAGGTCCAGCTCCACCTTCAGCTCCAGCCAGCGCCCAGCTTCACCTCCAGCCCCAGCCCCAGGCCCAGGCCCAGAGCGAGCGCCACGTCCAGCTCCATGTGCAGCTGCAGCCTCAGCTTCGGCAGCATCTCAGCTCCAGATCCAGCTCCAACCTGCCTGCAACTTCAACCCAGAGCCAGCTCCCGCTCCAGCCCCAGTCCAGCTCCAGCTCCAGCTTAGCTCGAGCTCGAGCCCCAGCCCCCGCACCAGCTCAGCTCCAGCTCCAGGTCCAGCGCCAGCTGCAGCTGCAGCCGCGGATCAGCGCCACCTTCAGCTCCTGCTCCAGCTCGCTCCACAGCTCCGCATCCAGCTTCAGGGCCATCTCTAGGGGCGGCGGTGGCGGATGCAGCGCGCTCCAGGCTCGGCACGTCCGAATGGATACAGACAAACAGAAAAAAACAAGATGGCCCACAGCAAACGTTGTCAAAAACCGACAGTGGCCGCTGTCGGGCGAGTTGCTTCCGCCTCGCGTGGACGACGTCCGTGGCGACACCGACAACAAACTCTGCTTAAAATGGGCAAGAACCGCTGTCGGTCTTCGTCCCCACTCTTCCCGTACCAGAGGCCTTCCACATGGAGTCCGAAAAAATGGCTCGGGGGAGCGCGCTGCATCGACGATGTATTGGCGGAGATGGCGTGGAGAAAAACTGGGCTCGACACAAAA